GAGTTGGTCCTTTGCATGTTTGTGTTCCCCACGAGACAGGAGCCCCCACGGAGGCAGAGCCGTGAACACTTCTGCTCCTTGAACTCAGGTTAAAACCCAAACTGGTGTCCCACTATTCTAAAAGGTTTCTAGGGAGTGACTCCAAACCACCATATTCCACTTTGGATCACTTTTTACTCAGTTGTAACTTGAATATCAATCCAAACTTTTTGTAAAGCTATTCCTTTTGAAGGTACTACAGACCATCTCATTTCCTTTGTTACTAATTAATACAACAAAGAGCTGGACCACTACAGCTGGATTCAATGGAGTGCTTCCCATGGAGAGGCTGAAATTACAGTGTGAATTCAGAAGCTGCTGTTTTAAAGAACACGTGGAGAGAGGAGAGAGCCCAGGACTGGGACAGGCTTCTGGTGTGGGGTCAAGCAGCACCGGAATCATTTCCTAGAACCCACAGCCATTTCACCCAGTGCTTCCCAGAGTCTAAAGTGATCTCTGTTGGAGACAAGTGAGGAAAAAATCTAAACAAATAGCACTCCCAAAGCCCTAAACAGGGCAAATCATCTCCACTGGGCTCAGGGTTGAAATCCAGAGAAAAGACCCAGTTTCCCAAGTGGAGCACCAGGCTGGTCTGGCAGGCTAGACATGTAAGTCCATGGTCCATGCCCCATGCCTCTCTGACACACATGGAGGGGAGACTCCCCAGGGCACTGCCATCCCTAGGTCACCTAAATCCCAGGACCTGGCAAAGAGCCTGGAAAGCAGGGGTTCAAGAAGAAATGACCTGAAGTCAGGTCTATCCCCAGGCTGATGGCAGAAGCCCCAAACCACAAGTCTGTTTACTGAAGAACCTGGAGGGACCACACAGTTTGTTTGCTTTTTATATCTCCTTCCCATGCTGGGGAGTATAACCTGTGTGTGTGTGCGGAGCCAGTACACACCCATACAACCTCACAGAACGCATGCGCTGCTGAGCAAACACACGGTGTGACCTTCCAACACTTACGACCCACTGCCAGAGTTATTTTTGAAACACACTTCCTGAGTCCAAATCTCACTTGCCAAGTGTGTGATCCTGGTTAAGTCTCCTAACCTCTTTGGGCCTTACTTTCCTCAACTGTATAAAGGAGTGAATAGAACCTTCTTACAGGGCTATCTTAAGAAGAAGAGTTAATGTGGGGCCCCTGGGTGGCTCAGTTGGTTAGGCGACTGCCTTCGGCTCAGGTCATGATCCTGGAGTCCTGGGTTCGAGTCCCACATCGGGCTCCCTGCTCAGCAGGGAGTCTGCTTCTCCCTCTGACCTTCCCCCTCTCATGCTCTCCCTCTCTCTAAATAAATAAGTAAAATCTTTAAAAAAAAAAAAAAGTAGAGTTAATGTATGTAAAGCACCCAGCCCTAGAGATGTTTCAAGGATTAAATCCTATCAAATATGTAAAGGGGCTAGAATACTGTCAGAGTAAATATTCAGTATAAGGTAGCATTACTATTATTCATTATTAGTATAATTATAATAAGTAATCATTATTTCCTTCTTGTGGCAGAACCCTTCACAGGACCTTTGGATGCTAACTCAGCTCAGCTGCTGGTTGCTTGTGTGCCTTTGGACAAGTCACTTCATCTTTGAGCCTGGCCACTTTCTCCCAGAAAACAAGTTATAATCCAAAGAATAATCCCTCTGTAGTCGCATGTCTGCAAACATGTACTAGATGTTCCTAGGAGATCACTGTAACGCACGCTTCCAAATAATGTACTTGTGTTTTCCAGATAGGCACATTATCTGCAGTCATCCATACTACTCGCAGGGGCTTAATTAACAAATCATGCTCTTTCTCTGCTTTGATGCTGTGTCTGTGCCAAGACTGTATTCTCCTTGACGACAGAGGCCTGGCCTTGCCCTCCACGTGCCTTTGGCACTGGCACGCAGTCACATCCCCCTTACTAAAGGGGCAGTGAAATTTTGTTAACGGGGAGCCATCACTTGTGGGCACCTTCCCTAGCAGCAAAACAGTATCTGGGTATTCAAATTGGATTCCAGAGGCTGCAAACTGTTTGTGCACAGGTCAACTACTAAATTTTGTTTGACCTGACCACCTATGCTTTAAAATTTTTAAGTTGGTTTCCAACCTTTAAAAACTGAGAGGTATGGCATAAAAAAAAATCTAGATCTTGGCTTTTATTGAATAATTGGAAGATCTGGCAAAAATCTGGGCTTAAACACTCAGCAATAGCTGAAGAGTAGCTGACCTTTTTATTGCTCTCCACCTCACTACAGTCTCCACCACTTCCTCAGGGCTTTCCAGAACTATCCCGGAATCTAGCTGTTAATCATTAAGCATCAAAACTTAGGAATTAAAAAAAAAACAACTTAGGAATTAACTCTTGGTTTGCCTGAATCCGTGTTGTGCATGACATTTAAAGTAGGGTGTTTTGCACAGAGCAGTCCAGAAATGCACCAGAAATGTGAGAAGGAGGGACAAACTTGACCACAGCTTGCAAACATGTGCTAGATGGTTCTGGGGAGATCTCTGTAAAGCATGCTTCCAGGAGGATACTTCTGTTTTCCAGATAGGCAAGTTATCTATTGCTTTATGGGAGGCAGGGCAAAGAGATAAATCTCCTGTCACTTATCAAAGCAAACTGAAGCAGAAGTAAACAGTGGCCTGAAAGGCAGAAAAGCAATTTTAAAAAAATTAATAAATGATGAGACTATTAACAGCACATGAAAAGGGTTTGCTTTTTTCCCCTCCCCTTTAATACGATTTTTACCTTAAACATTGTGTCCCTTTAGGAAAGGGAAGAAAAGTTAATAAAGGAACCTATCACTCAAACTTAATTTTTAGTATGGGAAATAAACTGCTTTAATGAAAGGGCTGAAATCCCTAGGTTTGCACATTAAATTTTCATTTGTAGTAGAGAATGGAAATTATTGATTCAGCCGTGGCATCATGCATTCTGAATCCTACAGTGCCTCGGAAGCCCACGTTACTGCTGGGTGCAAATGTGTTGGCAGCGTTTTGATGCAGGGTGAGCACAGGGTGGGTGAGGGGGTGAGGCAGACTGTCTCCTCACAGAACAAAAATAATCAATGTTCCTCGTCTGTAAGATCCACCTAGACAAAGAACTGCTTCTGATGGCATGATGGATCAGGGGGTGAATTCTGAGATCAGAAAAGCCAGGTCCAATCAGTCTTTCAGGAAGCCCAACAGCTTCATGGAATATAGATATATTTTTTAAAAGGCAGAATGGATGTGTGATGATTTGATCCTAAACTCTTGGGAAGGTTTGGGTTTCAAGAAATACTACAGAGGAAAGAAAAGTACTTTCTCAGTTCAAGGTCAGGGTGTCCATCAAGGGAAGAGTAAGTGTCTGACATTCTAATGCTGAACTGGATAGCACAGAAAAATCAATCAAACCCACAAATACAGCCTCAACCTGGTGTGGCCTCAACAAATAGTCAGGGACGTGAGCCTCCCACCTTCACTTAAAGCATAAAAATAGGTATGTTTTTCCTTTGAAAGAAATTAATCCTCCTGCCTCTCAGAGGACTACCCCATAATTAAACAACTCTTAATTATTTCTCCATTAGATAATTCATAGGGATTGACTGTAAGATGAGATGGAGGCAGCCTGAGTCAGGCCCATTTTGGGGTCTGTGTGTACCACAGGCTGTATGAGATCAGGAAAGGAATCATCTTTAGAAATAAAACGAAACTCAATTGCAAAAGTAAAGCTGCTTAAAAGGAAGGAAGGAAGGAAGGAGGAAGGAAGGAGGGAAGGAAGGAAGGAAGGAAGACAGGCAATCATGTAATATATTCCAAAAAAAAGAAGGTTTTTGTTTTGGCTTTGGTTTGTTTTGATTACCTCCTAGCTAAGATTATCTTATACCAATAGTCTCCTCTGTCAGTCGGAATGTTGGAGAAGTAGCTCTGCTGGACCAAAAAGTTCTGCTTTTGTGTTTTCATACGCTGAGAGCTGGTGCCATCTATAGATTTCCATTCTGGGAGAGGTTTCTCTTTTGTCCTACTTTGCGTCAGACCTGCTGTCGTGAGGATAAGAGCGCCCAGGAGACACCTCCCTGTGGTGTGATAGGCTATGAAGGATGGGACTCATTAATGGGCTGGCAGCTGCCCTCAAGCAGGACGCTGCCTGGAGGTGGGGGAAGAAGGGGAAGGGAGGCTGAGGAGGAGGAGGCTCCATCCAGGAGACCACCACTGGCTGTGGGAGGGGGCCCTCAAAGTAAGCAGCACCACTTCCTGAAGGATCCCCACAAGGTGAAGTCTGAACCGAGAGAGTGACAGCCCAGTCACAGAAACCTCTGTCTGGAAGAGCAGGCTCTGGGTAACTGTTTCTCTTTTTCGACTTAAAACAATCCCACCAGAGATATTATCTACAGCTCTGATTATTCTCCAATTGCTCGAATGTTACTTTTTCTGTCACTCCTTTACTATGTTCCTAACAATTTTATAGTACCCATCCCTATCACACTAGAGTTTATTTATAACTGATTTTTTCTTTTCTAGTCTCAGTTAGGAGATGAACTGTCCACCCTTAGGTAAAGCCAAACTGTTCAGCCTGGCACACGAGGCCCCTGCCCACCTCCCATCCAAACTTAGGCCATGCTATTCTATATGCTGTTCCCCACTCATAATGTTTACATTCATTTTCACAGCTTCCCATGTGCTGTTCCCTCTGTCTGGAACATCTTCCCTGCCCCAGCCTCTTACCATGGCTCAGTTTTGGCCATCTTTGCAGACTTGGGCTCACAGGCCTTCTTGGTGGGTGCTGACACCCCATCTGCCCTCTGGTCCCTTCCCTCTGCTCAGCTTGCATCTCATTCTTTGTAATGATCTGCATCCCCCACTTAGTACAGTGGATGATAAATGTCCTTTGCATAAATAAAGAGCACCACTTCCAGCTCCCTCATCGCCTGGATTTATTAGATCAAATGGATGAAATTTAACCAGTGCTTCCCAATCAGGAGCCAGCGTATCACTTCTTACCTTTATGGTTTTGGTCTGGAGTCTGAGTCCATTTAAAGTGTTGATGGCTTTCTCTGCATCCTTTGGATCAATATAGTTAACGAATCCATACCCTAAACTCTGTCCTGTGGAAACATTTTTAAAAAAAGAGAGAGAAAGAGAGAGAGAGAGAGAGAGAGAGCTCAGTATCTTTATAACAGTAACACCTCCCATTGCGGTGAGTCAAAACCCGCCTCTAGTATACGGTTCCTTTTACACCAGGGTTTATCCCAGGTGGAAAAGTTTCCAGTTCTTCCATCTCTCACTTTGGTCAGCCTAGGAACTCACAGGAGCTGCCCAAGTTGGGAATGGGTAAGTGCCCCTGCCCATCCACATCCATACACAAGTGTCCACTTAACCGGAAAGAAGTGAGAAGGTAGTGAAAAGAGAGCAGGTGTGGTTTGTTAGATTTGAACTGAGTCATGGGGCTTTTCCTATCAGCTGTGTGACTGTGGAGAGGAGTTATTTAATGTCCCGTTTTTTTCCCCTACATGTCTTCTCTGGAGATAACAGACAGACAGGTTTGAAAGCGTTAATGAGATCTTGTGTATAAAATGCCTACCAAGTACGTTGCCTAGAATATAGTAGCTGCTCAACGAAAGACGGCTATGCTATGCTCAGTCCTGTGAAACTGGGGCGAGCGCTGAATGCAGGAGCTGTGTCTGCTGCCTCAGTCATGCCAGCCACGCCCACACGCGGAGGAATGTAGCAGGATCTGAGCAGCAAAGACGGAGACATTTATAGTGAAGGCATGACCAGAATCTAAAGCAGTTGCTACAAATCATTGGTTGCCCTCATCATCCCCCCAGCCCAAGAACAGTTTAAAAAAAGGGGGGGTGAGAATTCTATTGGAAAGAACTGGGGAGCTCCTAACACAAAGGGGAGAGTGCAAACGCATTCTGCAAAGAGGGTTTTAGCTCCTTTAGGTGGAGATGGCATCAACTTGTCTGCAAAGAGAGGTAGCAAGTGACAGGGCTCCCCCCTAAGTGAAATAAAAATAATGTGCTTGCGATCGTGCCACTGATTATAAATAGTCCATCAGCTCTGCCATGTGTCATCAGCCAGAAATATCATTAGGAAACTTTACATTTTCTGACATACCCTTTAAGAAACACGGAGCTTAGAGTGGCTGCAAAATCAGCTTGAACTTCCCAGGCAATGTTATTGATTTGTGGGTGGCAGCAGAGCCGAAGGGGAGGAAAATGACAGGACGTCACATGTCAGGGAAGACTGATTACATAAAGCTCTTTTTGGAGTACCCGGCCCAGGCCTGGGAGACAATACAGCAAAAAGCCTGCCATGTCCTGGTGACAGGAGCCCATTTCAGCAGCCAAAAAATCTTTCCAACAGCTTCTGTTTTGCTGGTAAATGTCTGTGTTTGTGTTGGTTGTAGGAGGGAACCTGGGAAAACAAGTTGGGTTCTGGATTGGAAAATGGGTGACTTTGTTATCCTTTATAGGACACAAGCAAAGAGCATCACGAGGAATAGCTAAGTGCCCATTTTTGTCCCCAAAATGGAAAACCCAAAATGACAATACTTTCCATTAGAATACTCCTTTGTGTTTTGGAATAACAGGGTTAGAACAGGAAAGACAGGAGCAAACTTTGCCAGATATACCCTTTATAGGCAGAATTAGTAACTGAAGAAGGAGGAGAGAATGTTGAACACACTCCAGCTGCCGGGCCTCTCTGTGTGCGTGTGCGCCTGCGTGTGTGCGTGTGTGTGTGCAAGAGAGTAAAAGTGTGACAAAGAGAGGTGTGTGTGAATTACAAGACCCTGCCACATGTTCTGAGAAACTTTTGCAAATCTAAAAATGTAAGAGACATTAGTTTAAAAATATCATTTATCCTAGATTTGGCTCCACCTCATCAAGCCTAACTAAATTCACCTAATTAAATCCATTTTCATCATTCAAATTTATCAGTTCTATTTTCCTTGTAAATAAGAGAAGCCTTAAAAATTGCAGTACTAAAATATTCTTACAATTATTCATTTTAAACAGTTATGCACCAAGTTGAGATGCTTTAAAGGGCATTTTTAAAGCAATAATCTCAATGATAAACTTTAGTTATGAGTTCTCGGAAACAAGTCAGACAATCTATCCAGCTAAATTGAATTTGTATAAAATTAAAATGAAATATGAAAAAATACAGAGAAAACACTCACCACTTAACTGCAAACATTGAACCTAAACCCAAATACTTCATGATTCATCACACTGATGGAATGTATGTGGAAGAATTTATCATGCCTACCAGTGGTGCATATTCCCTGATATATGTATATATATCTAATTATTCATATGTTTATAGAAATCTAAAATAAATATAGTGGCTATGATTTTTACATTCTATATTTTATCTTTGTTTTAGACCCTTGCTTCAGGTCCTAGGAAGGTTCTGAAGGTCAAGTGAAAGAAAAAACTTCCTCTTTTTTTTTAAGATTTATTTATTATTTTACAGAGAGAGAGAGAAAGTGGGGGGGCAGAGGGACAGAACCTTCATGAAGACTCCCTGCTGAGTGCAGAGCTCCACCGGGGAGAGGGGGCCATGTGATCATGACCTGAGCTGAAATCAAGAGTCAGATGCTCAACTGACTGAGCCACCGAGGCGCCCCAAAAGAAAGGACTCCTGCTCAGCAAGCTGTGTCATATCTACTCACCTGCCTGTATCGGTCCCAAACCCACTATTGCCTCAGGTTGAAGGCAATTAGCACAACTGTGCTATCATCACCTGCTCTAGGTTTAGAGAGACACTGCACTTAACATCAGGAATGAGGGTGCTTTTGAGAAAAACTAAAAACCAGATAAACATCGTTTCAGAAAGGAAGAGGAGGGAAAGACTGGAGATTCTCTTTGATATGAAATAATGAGGTGCAAACTCTGAAACAGAACACTGCGTTGAACAAGAGGGGGACAGAGGTGGGAAGCACTGCCTGTGAACTGAAAGGCGTGAGATAAACTGCAGCACAGTGAAACTACCTGTGGTTAGCCTAGTTTGAGAACAGCTTCCTCACATGCTTCTTGCCAACATAGGAGGAGTCCAGCTAAGTCTAATAAAAAATACTCAATGGAACTAAGCAATCTCTTTTAAAACACTCTAGAGAGGATTAAATCCCAAGGTAGAAAATATAAAAACCCAAGCCTCATTTCTTTCAAAAATTATTAGTAGCGGGGGAGAGTGAAATGAAGAAGAATTCTATGTTTTAACTTGTCTGTCTGGTGGGTATACATTGGTGATGAGTTTTGGGTTTGCAGTTCTATATTTAAATGCACATAGAAAAATATAGATGAAACACATTCACAAAAAACACCAACACTATTACCATGGGGACCAAGAGAGCCACCATGCTGGGAAGGCCCCAGGGGACACAGTCTGGAGCCTAGAGCGAAGTGTGTGCATATCTGCATCCCAGAAATAGGTCCATAAGGTCCTCTTATTATTCCTTTTCCCCCAAATAATTACATCTTCCTTTATCAGCAATAGCAAGATTTGACCATATAGGTATAGTGACAGTATTTTCAGAAAGAAAATTTTTTTAGACTTTATTTTTGTTCTCAGTTTATGAGTTTATTTTGATAGCAGTTTGGTCAAATAAAACAATTAAACCATTGAGGTTATGTTTACTGAATCATCAGTAAAAAATACAATCAATAAAGAAAAGATGATATTATGAAATGAAGACTTCCTCCCAAATTTAGAAACTATCATGAGTACCTGGCTCCTTGATACTCAGGTGATCCACAATCCTTACATGTGACCACTCCTGAATACTCCTGTCCAGCAGGCATGGATGAGGGATCCCCAGTGACCATGCATGAGCAGGAAATGCATTCTTGGCAGTTTGGGGAGGTAACTTAAAATTAGAACGTAGTTTCCAAGGGGAAACAGTTATACATAATGGCTACATTTTAAGGCACTTCAGTGTACTTTGGATTAAAGAGGTTCGTGTTTTTAACAAGCTTTTCTTAAATCTGAACCTGAATATCTCTGTCTTTATAAACTGCTCATATGCACATGTGCACACATGAACACATGATGCGTCCTCCTACTCTGACATGGCAACATCTCCATTCTGCTGTAATAATGTGTATACCAACTTCTCCCCCTGGAAACCAAACACTTCTCACAAGAACTAGCTTATAAAAGTTTGCTTCCTTGAACATAGTAGGTGCTCAACAAACAGAAGAAAGAGTGGGTACACCTGTCTGTACCAACCCTCCATTTATGGAAGAATGTTTTATATTTGGGGGAAAGGAAGGGGACCCGGTGAATTCTTTTTGCATTTGTGAGAAAGGGAGAGCGTGACAAGCTGACACCAAGGATTGGAAAAGAAAACACAAAGAATATCTGGGTGGGCTCCCCTCCAGCACAGATCAGGTGCTGCCCACCCTCGGAGTTTCCAAAGTGCTTTGCCACCCGTTCTGTTGCATCTGACTCTCACAGTAACCCCGCGGGTTTTCATTTTATAGATATGGAAACTGAAGGGGCACCTAGGTGGCTCAGTCGGTTAAGCATCTGCCTTCAGCTCAGGTCATGATCCCAGGGTTCTGGGATTGAGCCCCACATCGGGCTCCCTGCTCAGTGGGAAGCCTGCTTCTCTCTCTCCCTCTGCTTCTCCCCCTGCTTGTGTGCTCGCTCTGTCAAATAAATAAATAAACTCTTAAAAAAAAAAGATATGGAAACTGAAGATCAGAGAAAATAGTGATGTGCCCTCCATTACAGAGCTGAATCTCACTCTGTATCAGGGGCTGGCAAACTTTTTTACATACCGGGTGAGACGGTAAGTAGTTTAGGATTGGCGGCTCCTCTGGTCTCTGCCATGACAACTTTGCCATTACAGCATGAAAGCAGCCATAGACAATATGTGTTCCAATAAAACACATTTAGAAAAATAGGCTTCCTTTGGGCCATAGTTTGCTGACTGGTTTAGATCTTTTGACTCCAAATCCAGTACCTTTTGCCATACTCACAGTTACTCCATTAGAACTAAAATGTCATTGACAATGATTCCAAAGCCCTGAAATACCTCTGAGGCTTTTTTGAATCATCTAAGAAAAACTCAAATTATCTTCAATAATTTGTG